AAAAAAAATGTTATAATAGCTCGGTCGGTAATCGGGCGGCCCCAAAACAGACGGCAGCGGTTCGTATCACGATCATTTGAACAATTATTTCTTTACTTTTTTTTTCTGTACCAGATCATTTTTTTTATTTTTTTTTATTTCCAAAATAAATGATTTACCAAAAAAAAAAAACCTGTCCTCCAGGTACTATAATTATTATCACACACATGTAAATGACTGAACTCTTGTTCTTTAATATTATTATTTAACTTTATAGATTGTATACAGAAAAATGGCCTTCTAATTGTCATATGCAACTCAATTCATCTCATGCTTTTTCAATTCATACTGTATAGTACAACCATTAGGGTACTTTTGCATTTTTAAAATTACAGGTAAATATTTCAAAATCAACCTGTGGGCTATGAGAGATTCTCTGTACAGACAGTATTAAGACATAGTCAACCCCACTTTTTATCATTATTATTTCAAAATATTTCGAATAATAATAATAAATAGTATTTATAAAATGCACATTCTCTCACAATTTTTTCCTTCACTGGTAAGCATGGAATAAGCACTTAAAATTGCAATGAATTGGTGCACATGGGGATTTGAACTTGGATTTCTGTAGTATATTGGATTACAAATGTGTGTAAATGGATTAAGTCTCATCGAAATCTTACCTTGGTAATGTGTAAGGATCATAAGGAAACCATTCATCATATTCCTCTGCATTGCAGAACTGTAGAGTGTGTCTCACATTTTTTTCTATTATAGCTTGACAGTAGACCACTTGGTGTGAGCGGGTAACAGAGGAAAATGCTCGAGTAACTTGTGGAGGACATGTACGTAAAGGATTCAGTGAACAGGTAACAAGGCGGGGCAAATTGAGTGACTCCACAAAGTTTAGGCCTGAAATGATATTAGGACAGTTGTAGAGAGTAACGTTGCTAGAGCTATGCAGCAGCCTCGGCTGTTTCACGAATGGACAGGCTCGTCCGGGTAAGTACCACAACCTCACAGAAGACCGGCGTAAAATAGAAGTATGACAAATACTTTCGCGTTTCGTCTGGTGAGTGAGGAAGCCAGAGCCCTATTTTATAAACTGCGTTACTTTTACATGAATTCCACTCCTGTCTCCTATTCACTATCAGACAACAAGATGCTAGTCAGAACAGATTATTTAGTGTTAAAATGGATCCCTATACATCATTGTTTTTAATACATCGAGCAATTATGTCAATGATCAGCCAGTGAATGTCTGATTATGGCATAGTTATTCTCACAATTGGAGTGAAAAAGACTATTTACTCAATACTGACTTGCCACTTAACAATAAGTATCTTAAGTTGATGACAAACTAACATTATAACAAGATTTATTTTCATACCCATGGCAAATATTCAGCTCTTTTTATATATCAATTGTTAAGAGTTTTAAAATATATTTGTATTTTTGCATTCTAACTACTACTAAATTTCACTTCATTCAACAAATTGTCTAGCTATAAATATGAACCATTTTATTATGTAGGAAATAAAGTACTTACTTTCTTTACTAGCAAACAAGTGATGGTTTTTAAATGCAACTAGATAGAAAATTGCATGGCATATGGCATGGAAGGCCCCATGTACTTTAGTGTTGTCGTTCACAGCTGTTGACTCTTGTGCGGCGGTTATATAAGAGTGACACCATTCAGCCATATTCTTTAGGTATTGTATAAGCCTGCTGTTAGTGACGCGCACACAACGAGCTAGGAGGCCGGCTAAGTGACTGGTTGCTGTGCGTCTAGTTGCTAAAGCCCCTGGGCCAGAGCCATGCAGGCCCGCTGCTATCATCCAGAGATTGTTAAAGACACGGTCGGCGCATTGTTGACTTATCGATATTACATAGACAAGGAGGAATTGAACATACCTGAAAATTAATTAAGTATAATAATATGACATATAAAAATTGAATTGGAAAAATAAGAACTTTGTTGAAATAGAAACAAAGAAACCAATTTTGTATATTTTGATACCTTTAAATGGGAAGTATAGAAGAAAAGCATTTTTACCATATGAAAATAAACTTGAGATCCTGTTTTTTTTTCAATTATAAAATTAGTAAAACTATTTTTCAATCTTTTTAAAAATTACACTTAAAATTCAATATAATTTTTTGAATAATATTTTATAATATTGTACATTTGACAATATATTGAAAGCATTAATTATGTCAACCTATCTTAGAAACCTTATAAAAGGTGTGAGTGAGCTTCCAATACTAATATTTATAGTATTGCCTAAAGCATACACAGCATAAAACATTTAGAAAACAATATTATTACCTCGTTCCATGAGTAGGTAAAATAACTCTTTCAAAAACATTGCACATTATATTAAGTACTGGTTCCCTCTCATCTTCTAACCATTTCAATACTTCCAACATGCAATAGTCCAGTGTCTCAGAAACATTGTCTTGCTCATCAACATCCATCTCAAACATTAATTCTGTCTGTCTTTTATTTCTAGACTGATCCATTATGTTGACATCCATAGTAACCATGCTGGAAAAAGTAGCACAAAACATATTTTATACAAAAACCGTGTGTGAGTTGGACTCGCGCACGAAGGGCTCCATACCTTTATAAATAAGAAACTTAAAATTTTTTTTTATTAATTCTGTTTTTTTAGTACTTATTGTTATAGCAGCAACAGAAATACATCATCTGTGGAAATTTTAACTGTCTAACTATCATAAAAACTTGTTTATTTAACTTTAATAGTTACTGAAAAGTTGGATGGCTATTGAAGGGTAGGTGGTGGTTTGCAGTGGTAGGGCCATGCGGTGGTAAGGCCACGCAGCAGCCGCGGCTGTTGCACAAATGGGCAGGCCTGTGCGGGTAAGTACCACAACCTCACAGAAGACCAGCGTAAAGTGGAACTATGACAAATACTTTCGCGTTTCGTCTGGTGAGTGAGGTAGCCGGAGCCGGTGAAGCAGATGTCCATAGGTGGCGGTATTCACTTAACATCAGGTGATCCGTCTGCTTGTTTGGCAACTTTTCCCATAAAAAAAGGTGGCCAATCTTAGTTGACAGATGTCCTAATCTTAGTTGTTCTTTTATTCTGAGGAAATCTTGAAGGGTCTATAAATAGTCTATAATTATACATCACATTGAGAATGACAAACATGTTTAGCACTTAAATTATCCTAGGGCCTTTTTCCCTGCCTTCCTGGTTTCTGTTTTATTACAGTTTATAAATATTATCTCTCATTGAATAAAAAACACAAGTATTACATAAATTTTGTTATATTAAGCTAATGTGAATGTGAATATTGCCTACAATTATAGCGCTACTGATAATGGAATTAATAAAAACAGGTATGATTTATGAGTACAAATCTCTGGGAATGTTCAGCAACTATTTATATATGTCATCATGTTATATTTATTATGCACAAGAACTTAAATAATCAAGTTATTACTATGATGAATGTTAAATGATTAGCACTATTGATAATGAAGACAGTAAAGATAGGTATGATTTATGAGTAAATATATCTGGACATGTATGCAGTGATTACTAAAATTTTACACTCCGTATAAATAAGGCTTTCCAGTGGCAATAAAATCTATAAACACTCACATGGTAATAATAATAAAAGAAAAAAGGGTCCTGACAGTTTGACCCACATTTTTGCAATATACATCATGAAAACACACAGCAGAATGTCATGTTTTTTTTTTTTATTTTTATCATTACATACCTGTTAATAATGGCCATCATTATTTGTTCTCTTAATGATGGTATGTATTTACTAATCCATATTAAATTATGAATATATGCTCGGTTACAGTAAGTCCCAGCCTTGTAGTATGGAAATTGGTCAATAACTGTTTGCATCAATAGATCACTGGTCCTAAAATTGATTTGTGGGAAATTTGTACACAATAATAATGTAGGAATTAATAAATAGAATCAGATAGTTGATGACCAAGAAAATATTATTACTGATTCAACCATATATGAAATAGTCCCCATTTTTTCCACATGTTCTAAAGGTAATTTTTATCATAAAAAAAGGCCTGACCATTTAACTAAAAAACGAAAAATCCAATATTTGCAACCTTTGCCTTTGATTACATATTTAGCATATATCTCTATATCTCTAATCCTTTAAACAAGCAATTATTGTATATATATATATAATATAATCGGAATCTCGGAAACTGCTCCAGCAATTTTCATGAAATTTAGTATGTGCGTAGATTCTGGGGTGAAAAAGGATCTAGCTAGGTTTCACTTTTAGAAAATGTCCATTTATCCCTGTTTTCAGGGAATAAAAAATATCATTTGAATATGACAGTAAATTTCGCCGCAAAAAAAATTATAATATCTCGGTTGGTAATCGGGCGGCCCCAAAACAGGCGGCCGCGGTTCATATCACCATCATTTACAAGCTTACTTTTTTCTATTCCAAAATACATGATTTACCAAAAAAAAACGAGCAAAGCCCGGTCCTAAAATTCATTTGAATTAGTGTTCCCAATTTTTTTATACCTTACATCATTGTAAGCTTAACTGAAACTTAAACACTTGTCCTATTTCAAATATCAACTATATTTCAGCTAATTTGACAGGACAAATGTTTATTCCTTGCAAAAAAAATATTATTTATTCAAATGATAAAATCATTATGATAATTGTTATTACCACACCATTTTACTTACATAGGCATTACAGCAACAATTTGGGCAATAATTGTATGTATATTAGACCATTTGGCCATCATTTTTTTTGTAGGTTGATCCTCCCAATTTTCACCATCCACTATAAACAAATGTAATAAAGGTTAAATTTACATTGAATTTGAATAATTGTATACATTTCATAGTAGTGCAAAATATTTACCTTTGAATAGTTTGATCAAGTTTGCCATGACTCTTGGACAGTGGTAAGTATGGGCTGTGACTAGATTAAGTGCAAATCTACTGTACATTTCAACTAACTCAACATTTCTGCTAGCCCACTCAACATTGCACAACACATCCACAAATTGTTTAAATTCTTTGCCTAAAACCACTACACTACTTAAGCAATCGCCAATCAATGTCTCATAATTGTCTTCATCTAAGGGAAATTCCTCCAAAACTTTGATGAGTTCTTTATATGGTCCACTGCTACCATCTCTTATGTAACTTAATAGGATTTGCTCTACTTGCCCATTTTTTAATCTCAATTTGAGACGAGCTTGTGCCGATTGTCGATCCAAAGTCTTTCGCATCAAAGATGCAACACTTTTCTGAGTTGCCACTGCCATTATTTCTTGAGATCCGAAGACACTGACTTTAAATAAGCAATTATTTCAGGTTGTCGTAAAAGTTCAGCTTTTTTGTGATTTAAGACCTCTCTCAAAACTGTACTGCTGTCGTCAAGAGATGTCACGTTATGAGGAGTTGTATCGAAGCTTGTGCTCGGGGTAGCGTAACCAAGCCTAGATTCCACTGCCTCGGCGCTCCTTTTATCTTTTAAATAAGATTGCAGTCTTTCGAGAACTACTTTGTTATCACCTTCTTTCTTTTCGGTACTATAACCTTCTTTGGACATCGCTCAATTTCAAGTTACATCGTGGTCTGTTTATAACTGCGTATTGAATACACTTTTTGAACAAAAAAGTAATAACATGAAGCAAATTTATAAAATATTGAAACAATTTTCAAATAAAGAATTTTACAACCATACAAAACACACGTGCACAATCTTAAAATGCGTAGTCGTATGACAGGTATATGTCAATCGTCAACGTCATAAGTCATAATGTATGCCAAATTTTTTTGTCTTTGCTGTAAATGCCCTGCGGGTTGGAAAAGTTTCGTGCCTTGGGTAGACGACCCGTGGACTCAGAAAAAATAACGTGGCTTGTGCATGAGGAAGACATGATGAAGGCTTTCGCTCCGCGGCAACTACGCGACCTCTGTAGACTGTACTGAGAAATTCACAATCGACTAACGATGAGGGATATGGGTTACGTCACGAATCCAGGAAACCATAGCTTGTCTTAAATTTAGATAACAAGAAATTTACGAGAAATAAATTATAAATGACAAACGAAATAATCACTTCACGAAAACCTTAAATTTTTCAAAAATATTTGTTCAGAAGTTAAAAAGTGATTAAAAAGTATCCTCGCATACGCAGATTTCTTTTTTTACCCAAATACCAGCCATTGATTGACAAATGTCTGACCTGATGTTAAGTAAACTATAACTAGATAGACTATTAACACTGAAAAATTGACGCCGGCTAATTGTTCCACTTGTTTTCTGTACTAAGTAAGACTTAAGTACCCTAGACTATACTGTTAAGAGAAGAGAAGTGATGATTCTAAGTCATGGTTCTTTAATTAAAGTAGATAACATTGTTTTTAATTAACTCACTCTTCTGATCTATATAAATATATGTACGTGTTCGCGTAAATATCTGTAATCATTTATATGGTCTATCGTATCAGGTGTACAGAATTTACGATAGTCCTATTTTTTGCTAGATGATGCCTAGTGAGCTGGTGGTTCAGTTGATGCTAAGTGATAACAATCAGATATGGACAACTGTAACACCCGAAGGTTGGCCTATGCATTGCCAAACATTTAATAAGTGGGTCCGGTGAACTCACCAGAAGAAACGGGTAAGTAAAATATTTTTACTTCACGCCGGACTTCTGTTAGGCCGTGGTACTTCTCCGGACGAACCTGGCCACTCATGCAATAATAGAAACTATTGCTGAATGGTTGCTACTATTCATTTCTATTTTCTAATAATTTAAAAAATTATTGCATATTTATTTTTTTGTAATTAATATGAAGTTTATTGTAGTAATACTGATTTCAACTTTTAGGCAATTTATAAACAATGAAATTGTTCATAACAAATGTTCAAGAAATATATATAAGGCAAATTTCAACAACTTTCCCTTATATGTTTATATATATTTACATTTATTGGTAAAATAAGTACTAATGAATAATTGTGAGTACTTGACTCATAAATAATGACAATTATTTAGTGTCTCATTATGAATCGCTCTATTCGTATTCATGCTAATCATATCTCATGTTAGACCAAAGAGAATATAACCACTACGTTAACGTTTAGTTACATTTAGTTAGACAACAGCAACACTTTAATTCATCAATATGTTATCTGTGTGTATTACAATTTCTCATTTTATTTTTCTCAATGAGTTTGGGAGGGGTGTGATGCGTGTGTACAACTAATTCCGGATTAAATCGTTCCTTCTATTTTATTATAGTCAGCGCGTATCAAGTGTTAATGTGAAAATGTGTAATAATAAACTATTAAGCGTGTAAAGTCATTTACACAGTTTTTCATTCGTTTTCGCGACAAACATGCAAAATGGCCAACGATTTGTGGTCATGTTACTGTTGTACCGAAGCCCTGACATGTTGGTTGCGCTTGAAACTCTCACCTGAAGAGATAGAGCAACGTTATAGAAGTAAAGAAATAGATAGGATTTTGGAAAAGGACAAGCAGACTTTAAGGCGACAGGTCAAACTTTTGCTACTCGGTGCAGGTGAAAGCGGAAAATCAACATTCCTGAAACAGATGAGGATAATACATAGAGTGAAGTTTGAGCCGGAACTTGTGCGCGAGTACCAACATGTGATTTATCAGAACATTGTGAAGGGTATACAAGTGTTAGTGGACGCTCGTGACAAGCTAGCGATTCCGTGGGAAAATCCCAGGAATTTGGACATCGGTCAACAAGCCCTGCACTTCAATAGCAGTGCGTCACTTGATAGCCTGCTGTTCATGCATTATGCGCCTCACATACACTCCTTGTGGTTAGACAGGGCCATAAAAAGGGCCTATGACAGACGGAGAGAATTTCAACTGGTAAGTTGGTCTAATGTTTGCAATGTAAACAATGCTTGAGTAACAGTTTTCTTTGTGGTATCTGTCTTAATATTTATTGAAGTTTGTTTAAGATAACATTTATTTACTTAAAATTATTGATTATTTTATTAGACAGGTTCTGTTTTAATTGGTATGTAGGTATTTGTTTTGTACATAGTTAGTGCCAATTTTGAAGTTTTCATAAAAGAGTAAGGAATATTCCATGTGATAACTTCTTAAATCATGTAAACTTGGACTAAATGTTTTCATTTTGGATCATTTTGGATTTTAACATAAGAGTAAGTTTCAAAGGATTTTAAGATGTTTTACCTTATTCGGTTAAATAGTAATCATCATATACAAATTTATCATCATATAAAAGTAAAAAAAAGTAAAGTATCAGCCTATACATGTCCCACTGCTGGGCAACGGCCTCCTCTGTATACAGGGTATCAGGGCATAGTCCACCATGTGGCCCCACTGGGGAATGGCGGACTTCACATATCTTCGAAATATTTATTTTATTATTATTTCGAAAATATGCAGGTTTACTCACGATGTTTTCCTTCACCGCTGAGTACGTGATAATTCAGCACTTGAAATTAACAATTTCATTGGTGCCTGCACGGGGGATCGAACTCTGTTTGCTCAAGTATATTGAATTAAAGGCGAGCGCCCAGACACTGAGCTTATACAGCTCATCATATACATTTAAATTATTTTTTTTATAAATAAGCTAGTAAATTAGTTTCATTATTAAAAAAAGATCTAAATTTTTCATACTTTTATTGTTGATCTTAGAAAGTAATGGTCACATCGCTAGCTCCCCATAGAAAGAAAGAAAGGATGCTGTTGACAAAGTAGGTTTAGAGTAACACCCTCTTTCTGAAACACTGATCATCATAGATGTCAACTAATCAGCTGTCAAATGGACAATTAATAATGTAAAATTAAATAATTTATGTACTGTATAATTTATATTTGCCTGGATTTCACAAATTCAGACCTGCCTAAATAAAGTGAAAAAATTTCATGTGAATATTCATTCATGATTGTTTACGGTTATAATTATTGAATAGACTATACAAATGCGGAGTGCAAGTAAATCATAATTGGCTCTCATGAGTGTTACTCATGGTATAATAACTATTACTATGCATATTTCTGGTTGAATTTGTTGTTTAAATATTTTCTTAATTGTACCTGTCCACCTCCTCTGTTGGAATAAAAAAAATTGGACATATTCTGTCAGGAAATAAAAGGGTATTTTCATCAGTGTATTTTCATATTTTCATATTCTTAATATATAATTATCATTTGAATGACTTTCACAATCTTGATTTGAATGCATTCAAGCCTGCTTTTAGTTTTAAGCTCTAGTCGTAGCTCAGATGATTCAAACACAAAGATCAGATTGAGGTCCAAATTGATCCACCCATTGTGTTTATGTTTTTAATTTACAATATTTTCTCTAGATTTTTACTATCTGAAGAACTATCCTTGCTTACGAACTGACTTAATTTTTGACTTCAAACAATAACACACGCAAAAAAGGTTATTAACTATCCTAGTGGCTATGGAGTCAAATTATTATAATGCCCAACATCATCTTGAGTTGCAAATGTAATAATTGAAACTGCATTCCTTATCTTATTACATTAGTCACAGTTTTATTGCGTCACGCGTCACGCACCGAAGCCCAAGATATATGTCGGCTGTAACACATGTGGCACCTCGTCCAGTGTTTTCGTGAGATTATTTATTGTAATTATTTCAGGTCGTGTGCTCATTTGCTTTATTGTTTGATGCGCCGTCGTGCTGTTGTCATTCTATACTGTGTTTGTTGGACTTCCTTTAAAAGCGGAAGTCTTATTAGTGACGCTGTTTCGTCCATTCATGGGCAGCTCGTAGCAATGGCATTCGGCTAATTTGAAAGTTACATTGTTTGATAGAACTTGTGCTCGACTGTGCACGTTTGAATCGTGAATGAATTCGTATTTAAATACGCTTAGTCAAAGCAGCATTTTTTGTCATCTGTTTTTAGACATTTCTGCTATTTTGCAGTTGCGTTGTGGACTTTGAACCGCGTATTGCGCGTTGCGGTTCCCATTTGCTTGCGTTCTTTTATTTCTATTGATTTTTTACTTCTAAGCTGAATATCCTGCTTATCGAATATTTACCATTATTTCTAGGCCTATTGGATTAAGCTGCGCGTCATCTGCCAGTTAGGAAATGTGTTTTTTTCCACAAACATCGGCATAGATTAGACATTACAGTACTGTCCCTATTCTACGCGATTGATAAAGAAGGCAATGCATATCGATATGTGCGCGTATCCAACCTCTAGTACAATGATTCATGTTTTTGTTAGAATTTTTAACCGTTTATGGAGGAGAAGTGGCTGTTAAAATCGTAATAAATAAAAATATCGCTCTTGGAAATTGGACAAAATAATCAGCTATTTTCTATGTTGTTTTTTTACTTGTTTCAACGTACGATGTTTATGATAGTGTTTTTTCGACATCAATAGTAGAAAAAAGGAACTTGTAATATAGGTACTTAAGTCGTGTTATCGGTTTAGTCTGGCCGAAGACAAGTAGTAACTTGGAAATGAAAGCGCAAAGCTGTCTGCCTTCGATCTTCGAGACCATCGTTCGATCACTTGCAAGTAGAAACGTTGAAAACAACGAACTGTAATTTATACAATCCACTATGTTTCAAAGATCGCCTCACTTCCGGTTTCTGAAACACTGATCCTCGTAGAAGTCAACTAATGAGCTGTCAAATGGAAGAAGCTCATTTTGATCAATTCAGAGTTTAACAATCCTCATGGCAACTCAAGTAACATTTGAAAATCCATTTTAATTCAGAGTTTAACAATCCTCATGGCAACTCAAGTAACATTTGAAAATCCATTTGACAGCTGATCAGTTGACTTTTACGATGATTAGTGTTTCAGAAACCGGACGTAAGTTTTGTGTTATCTAAGTTTACACGTTCAATTGTTCACTGATTTACCATCACCTATTCGTGGGCTACGGTCAGTATATCATTTTAAAACAAAATATAAAAAATGGATTCTGATGCAACATCAGCTCTCTGGTACCACATGATAAGACATTGCAGATGACATTTATCATTATAATGATACGTATTATTTTCATGGTGAAGTTTTGGCTATTGTTATTTTTTTTCCATTATTATTATGCTTTTGTTTTCAATTATTAAAATTTTAAAAGTGTTCTGTTAGTTAATGTCAGGCTGGAGTAGAATATGTAACTAACCTGACACCTTTTAGTTTAAAATGTGACCAAAATAATTGTATTTTAAATTAATTGTAATTTAAATTTAAATTATTATTATTGGGGGGATATTCATTTGTTTTCTCGTCTGGTTGGGTTATTATTATTATTATTACTATTCATTTTTAAGAGCGTAACAGGATCCCGCTCTCGTTTCTCGGCTATCGCACGACGGATCGCCGCGCGCACGTTTCCAATCGCCGCGACATTCTTTTTCCGGATCTCGCAACGAAACCGGCACACCGGTTGCGCTTATGGAAAAGCCACGGTTGTCAACGTGGTGACGGGTTAGCAGCTCGCGTGCTAAATGCCCGCGATGACGTGCGAACATGATTTTGCATCGCCGTCGGTCGCGCATTCGAACAAAGAACCACAAGGCGACGTCACTCGGCCGTCCAATACGAAAGGGCGTCGTGCCACTGCAGTGTGGTGGGAAATCGATATGCCTCTTCGTAAGTCGCCAGCACTAGACGCCACGGCGATTAATACTATTTGGACGGCATTGATGGTTTAGGGCGGAATCGAAATTGTCGTTCGTCGCTATGATCGAGTTTTAAAGGCAACGGTACGGGATGTAAAGTATCATAACAATTTCTAGCAATGAAATAGCACAGAGTGTTACTTCATGCTATAGTTTACGTGACGTCATTCAATTTTTATTCCTTAAATTATAAACGCACTATGAACAACTATAAAATACAGATTGCACGTTACGAGTACACTAACTTTTTCTTTTATGCGAAAAGTTGCCAAACGAGCAGACGGGTCATGTGATGTTAAGTGAATACCGCCGCCCATGGACTTCTGCTACACCCGAGGGTTACAGATGCGTTGACAACCTTTTGAAAATTGGGCTCCGGCTACCTCACTCACCAGACGAAACGCGAAAGTATTTGTCATACTTCCACTTTACGCTGGGTCTTCTGTGAGGTTGTGGTTTCATTTCATAAGATGTAGGGTCACGAAATGGTTACGTCCGCTCCATCTTTTTCCAGCGGAAGTAGAAAAAGAATGGTTTTGACGTCATTATGAATCAGGTATTTTTAGTGAAGAACTTATTCACACATTCCAAGGTGCTTTAAATATGTTTTAGTAAGAATATCATAACAGTTGTTGTGGGTTAGTTCAGGACTCCTTCTCTCTTGTTATCTAATTAGTATTTACCATTTTAATGTTCTGAACGATTGCATTTTATTTAACATAACAGCAAACATCTGTGACGAAGGACAGTATGCCATACATACTTCCATATTTCTATTTACTACGACTTAAATTTCTGCTTTGTACTGTGTATTGATTCCTGGCACATAATGCGTCGATCGTATTAATGCCTTTACATATGTACTGCCTCGAAGTGAAGCGAGTTTCGTTCTCTTACGAACGCAGCAGCTGCTAGATTTACTTCTTATAAAATGCCACGTGTTGCGGTGAAATTTTTAATTTCTGTTCTTGCAAAATTGACCATAAAATTACAATCCATCCCGTGTCCGCTGTTTAAGGTATTTATTAATGGTGGTTTATGAATGTTCCAGCAAAATTATGGCTTGCTTCGCTCAATTGCTGAGTAATAAAGACTTGGGTCGTCGGATTCCCGCACGGAATAAATATTTGCATGGTTCAGCGCAAACAGTGCATGGTTATATATATGTCATATCGTTGTTTATGCGAGATATATGGCGTAATGTTTGCATAAAGGAT